CTGGTGGATCCCCAGGAGCTACACTCCTCATTCACACACACACAAACACAGACACATGTTCCCGTGTGTACATCCTGCATGCACAATGGAGAACTCACTCAGAAGGGTCTCCAGGGCCCACGGGTGGCAGGCTGCCCTTTTGCTATGGCTCACACCAAGCTCACTTCAATTGACCATTTGATTCTCCAGCTTTATTTTTTATTACACATGTGACTCTATTCCTTGCAGAAAGTCCTTTTAGTCATCTCGTAAATAAATACCACACATTGGAGCTTTTGCATTACTTTCCTAACTGGATTTGGAAAGTACAGTGATTTTTTATTAGGTTTTTAAAAATTAGAAATAGAACAAAATAAGGTAACAATGGACAGGATAGAAATATAGAACATATCATATACAGGCAGGATTTATAGGTACCAGTCATGATGCAAAATACATTCCTTCCAGTATCTTAAAGAAAAAAAAAAAGTTCGAAAATATACTTGCTAGGGCTCAGCCTACAGCAGGTTAAAGTGAAAAGAATCTGCTTTCCAGTGCTGCAAATTACCTGAGAAAACAACTCACAAGGAGGAAAGGCTTCAGAGGTTTCACAGTCTGTGGTTATTTGACCCTGCTGCTCTGGCCTGTGGCAGCAGAGCACATCATAGCTGAAGTATGTGACAGAGGAGCCCTGTATACCTCGTGGCAGCTAGAATGCAGAGACAAAGCAAGGGCCAGGTCCCCCCAAACCTGGCTTCCTCACACCAGGCCCCACCTCCTGAGGATTCCACTGCCTCCTAATAGCGCCACCAACTGGAACCAACCTTCAAGACATAGGTCTCTGGTGGACACTTATGTAGACCACAGCAGGGTGCAGGTAGCCTCCAGAAGCAGGGTGTACAACTGCAGGGGCCCAGGCGTGGTTCACTGGTGTGCTGGGCAGGCACTGGTCTCTGGCCTGGATCATGGGATCAAATATCCCAAGGCCAGAGAGAGTTCCCAGCACAAACCCAGCTGATGCCAGCCTGGGGTGGTGTCACCCAAACTGAACCCCTCTCCCGTCCTTTTATAGTCTGAATGTTTGCCTGCCCCCAAATTCACATTGACTCCTCAACCACAATGCAATGTTATCAGAAGGGAGGCCTTTGGGAGGTGCCTAGGTCAGGAGAATGAACCCCTTCATTATATGCCTATGCAGAGAGCTCCCTGCCCCATCCCCCAGATGAGGTACAGTGGGAAGAGCAGACTCCAAATCTGCTGTGCCTTGATCTTAGTCTGCCAGTCTCCAGAACCCTGAACATAAATTTCTGTTGTTTTTGAACTACTGGGTTTGTTTTTGTTGCCAGAGCCTGAATGAACTAAGACAACTGGCACTGGGAGTGGTCAGGCTGTAGCAAATATGTAAAATGTGGAGGTGATTTTGAAGCTGAGTGAAGGGTAGGGACCCGAGGAGGTCTGAGGTGCCTGCTGGAGAAAGCCCACGTTGCCACCCACAGAATTGTGCTAAGAACAAGTCAGGTGCAACTGGTACTCTGGAGGCTGAGGCAGGAGGATCCAAGTTCAAGTCCAACCTCTGCAAAATCAGCAAGGATCTCTTTAAAAATTAAAAATAAATGAGGCTATGGATGTGGCTTATTGGTTAAGCACCCCTGGATTCAGACTCTGGTACCAAAAGAAAGAGAGGGAAGGGAGGGAAAAGTAAAGACTCAAAGATACTTATTAAAGTGTTCCAAGGCAGACTATTCAGGGCATGAAAGGTATTGGGACCACTGCCACCAGGTTTTTCAGTGGGAAAAAGAGATTGGGCTCAACCCCCAATACTGCATGGACAAAGGAGACTTATAGCCAAGGGGCAAGTGGAGTCAGTGGATAGAAAATGACCACCGTGGGTCCACTGAGGCTCACATGTGAGACGGAGCAGGGACCTTCAGAGGTGAAATGATTAGATCACAAGAGCTGTGAGCTAACCAGCGGATTAATCTATTTGATGGATTAATAATGTGAATAGTTACTAGGTGGTAACTGTAGGCAGGGGTGTGACTGAAACAGTGTGCCCTTGGGGACTCCATCTTGTCCCTTGGCCTGCCCTCCTCTCCCGCCTCCTTCCTTCCTGACTGCCATGGTCTGTGCAGCTTTCCTCTGCCTGTGCTTCTGCTCCAGTGTTCTCACCTTGGGCCCAGAGTAATGGAGTCAGCCAACTCTGGAGTGAACCTCTGAAATGGTGAGAAAGAATAAAACTTTTCCTCTTCCAAATTGTTCTTGTCAGAAATTTTGGTCACAGCAACAAGAAGCTGAGTATCACAATGACCAGGAAACACCAGGAATGAGGGGGACTCTGGCTAAATTGATCCAACAGGAGTCTTACTGAGGGCAGGCCGGGGTGAACAGATGTCACCTCAGGGTCCTGGGGAAGAAGGGACTCCACCCAACAACAAGGGTGATCAGATATTGAGGGTGGGGCTCTTCTAAACTGACTTAGCAGAGCCCTTGCTAAAACCAGACTCTAAAGGAAGCACACAGCTGGGCACAGGAGAAGTTTCTGGAGCCTGACTGAAGTGGGGTCAATCAAAACAGCTTTGTCGGCTTCAAGGGTGATTCTGGTTCACGCCCAGGAGGAAAAGACTTAGAGAAAGCCTCAGCCTGCTGCAGGTTACCTATGTAGTCATGAATTAGGGTAGTGAGGCCACTCTGGTAGGTCTCAGATGGGAGTGAGGAACATGACCGGACACGGGAAGAAAGGCCACCCTTGCTATAGGACAGCCAAGAGCTTATCTAACCGCTCTGCCCAGTGTTTCCTGACAGGCAGGACCTGGGAGCAAAAACATTTGGCTGAAGACATTTCTCAGGATGGTGCTGAAGGTGGGGCTTGGTGCTGTTGAATGCTTCCCATAAAGTGGGAGAAGAGTGATTAAAGGTGATGGAATTTTAATCAAAACAGAGGCATAACTTAAAAATTCAAAAAATTCTCAGTGTATTCATCAAAGGGATAAAAGTGAATTCTGGAAAGGAGGAGAGTGTGCTTTACTTAAGGAGATTAGCACAGATCCACCCTGAGACAATACAAGAATGGCCTCAAGAGCACTGGAGAGCTACAACACCAGCCATTTTTGTTTTTATTTTGAGACAGGGTCTCACTAAGTTGACAACACTGGCCTTCCACTTGCGATCCTCCTGCCTCAGCCTCCCAACTCACCAAAATTGCAGGTAAATGCCACCATAAAGATTATTCTTGAGCCTTAGGCCTCAATGTCCTTTTGGGCTGTGGGCTTGCTTGGGACATTATACCTTGCTTGGGACATTACACCTGTTTTTCCCTCTGGAAAGGCAATTACCGCCTATGCCTGCCCCCCACTGGTTTTGGAAGCATATACCTTGTGGGACCTTCCAGCAGCACAGTAAGAGCACTTTGACTCATGACAAATTGTGCCTGAGCCTCAGCCTGCTCTGATGGACATGTTCACAAGAGACTTTAGTCTTAAACATACCAAAATGGACTTTGGGGCTACTGGAATGGAATGAAATGTATTCTACATGTTCAAGAAGAATGTGTATTTTGGGAGAAACTGTGTGGTCTTAATTCTTGGTGAAAGGATTAGGTCAGGAGGGCAGAGGCCCTATGGGTGGCATTAGTGCTCTCTTAAAAGAGGCCCAAGGAGCACAGATTGTGCCATGTGAAAGCACAGCGAGACGTGATGTGTGCAAACCAGAAAGTGGTCCTTTACAGACTCCAAGTCTGCCAGTGCCATGACCTTAGATTATGAACCTGCAGATCTGAGGTTCTGCATGAATGTCGGCTGCACATTAGTCTTGCATCACTGCAACAAAATGCCTGAGGCAACTAACTTTCTAAAGAGAAGAGGCTGATTTAGCTCAGTTTTGGAGTTGCAAAACTATGGCAATTGTCTCAGCCCAGTTCTGGTGAGGGCCTCATGATGATGGTGACAGAGACCTCAACAGCAGGGGTGAGTTGGAGCAAACAACACATCTTGAAGTGGGGCAGGCAGGCTCTTGCCTCTATAACAACACTCCCTGAGAACCACCCCAGAGTCCCCAGAGACTACCTTCCTGGGGCTTGCTGCACTGACCCCTGGACTCCTAGGGTCACCTGGGAACATTGTTTAGGGCAGCTTGCTTTAAGCTTATTCTTTTATGTCTCCAGATTCCTGAGGCTGTCCACATGTCATCCCTCTCCAGGGCTCTAACTCTAGTCCTGTGGGCCAGCTCTGCTATTCTGTGCCTGTCACATCTGGCTCCCTGGGGATTGCTTCCTGACAAGCAGCTATGAAAGAGTCTGTCACCCCAGGGATTCCTCACCCCCAATACCATTGTCACCTTCTTCCTCCTGGCACCCCAGGAGCACTCCTAGCACAAGACCACACTTTGGTGTAACTGGTCTGGCACTTCTGCCAGCAGGCAGGGACTGGACACAGCCCCCGAGTGTGCATCCCAGGGGCTGCTGCTTTCAGCCCAGAACCTGAAACACAGGTCTAAGCATCCTCTGGCCTCCAGCCCTGGGTAACCCCTTTGCATTGCCAGGTTTTGGTGAGGCTTCTGAAGCTGGGCCTGCCCAGAGGCCTGGGCTTCCTGCCTCAAGTGTCCTGGGCCCACAGGGGTCCTGCAGCCATTTGTGGGGCTCAATACCCTCTTTGTTCTGGCAGCACTGTCCTCGACTCAGCTCCAAAAGATTTCCTCTTTATTTATTTTAACTTAATTTATTTAAGTAATTAATTTATTAGTACTGAGGATTGAACCCAAGGGCACTGACTGCTGGGTTACAGACCTATTTTTATTTTATCTTGAGACAGGGTCTTCAAGTTGCCCAGGCTACTCTTAAACCTGTGATCCTCCTGCCTCTGCCTCCCTAGGTGCAGGGATTACAGGCCTACGCCACCCGCCTGTAGATGGCTTTTAAAGAATCCTCAGCATCTTCTCCTGATTCTAGCGCAAAGTTTTGTCAAAAACGAAAGTCTATTAAAATTCTCTTACTTTCCATTTCAAATTACATTAAATAAACCCACTACTTGCCTTGGCATCGCAGGCCTGGACTTGAGGTTTCCCTCTTGAACCATCCTCTGTCCTGCGAGGCTTCCTTCTTGACCCATCCGCTGGACTGTGAAGTTTCCTTCTTAAACCGTTGGCGGTGCGCGAGAGGTTTCCTTCTTGAACCTTTGGCTGCGCGCGCAGGCAACAGGACGCGTGGGCGATCCCCCTCTCTGCTACCCTCGAGAAGGGTCGGGGTGGCAGAGGCTGCAGGTCAACCCAATGTGCAACACATCCTCGCATGCAGCCAGAACATGCTGAAGAACAAGCAGCATCTGCCAGCAGAGACTCCACTCGGTTTCTTCTTATTGATTTAATTCATTTATTTAATATATTTGACATTTAAAATGTTTTATTTTTGATCAACATGAAGTAACTGTACATGTTATGGGACTCTGATATTTCAACCATGTATATGCTGTACATTCATCAAATAAGGGTGGTTGGCATGTCCATCTTCTTATATTTCTTCATATTTGTGATCTCTCTTTAAAAGCTGTTCATGAGAAATAGAATAGTATTGTGAACTACAGTCGCCCCACAGTGCTGAGGATGCCAGAACTTGCTTTCTTATTGAATTTCAAAGATTCTTTTGAAGTTTGAAGTAATTATTGTGGGAAATTATCCATCCTTCCATGGCTCATGCATTCTATATCATGATCTGCCAATCTGTAGAGTGAGAAAAATCCACTCTTCCTATGCAAGCTTCTGGGGATCATGACTATCCCATGCACAGACACTTCCACCTGGGGGCAGAGCAGGTAGGTGGACAGCACCTCCAGCTGGGATGAGCACTCTTTTTGGATCCTCCCCTTTGGACTTGTTATGGCTCTTATACCCTCCCTAACCTCACTGCTCTTCATGTGAAATTCCCCCAAGCAGGAACCTTCTGTACCTTCCCCTTCCATCTTTCCTTTGACTGTGTTAACCAATGGGTGGACAGTTGGTTCCTCCCCATCCCTCAGCAGGGATGAGCTGAACCTGTATTTTGCCCTTTGGCTCCATCATTGCTAACCCCTGCCTCCATTTGCACCCTGGGAAGCAAGGATGTGGTGAGGGACCTCCAAAATTTCTGGATGAACATCTAGTCTCTAAAAAGAATAAATAAACATCAATATGAAAAAATAGCTGTATGGAGGGCCAATAGGCAAAGACTCCAGGAGCAAGCACACCTCTTCTCCTATCGCCAGGACTTTGCTCCATCCTTGTGGGAAAAGTCTAGGTTCAATAATTCAATCTCTAATGTTAATACATCAAGAAGTTTAGGGACTTTTTAGTAATTAGTTTGTGATCAACTGTTTCAAGCTGTCTAACAACTGAGGTTCTCCTTTTTTTCATTAAAGCAGAAAGAACTTTTCAATAATATTCAATTACAAAAGTCACTTAAACAATCTATTGGAAAAGTGTTTATTTAAACATGCCAAACAATCCCTTTTAACACAAAAATTATAGCATTTTATAATACAATGTTTAGAATAAATCAATTTCACAGTAACTTCATCTATTCAAACAGCAGCAAAGGAAGAATAAGAGGCCTCACAGACAAAATTTATGTCATGAAGCTCAGGCACCAGTGAACATTCATGTCAATATTTGATGTGCTCCTTAATTCTTCACATAACCATTCTAACAAGCTTGGAAGACTGGTCTTGAGCATGCAACAGATCAGGAAGGAGCAGGGAAGGAGATACAGGGAGATATTTGGATGGTAAGAAGTTATATCTGACAGCATAAAAAGAAGAAAATCATTATTGGAAGTTCCAGGAACATAAGAAGGCATAATCCAGGATCATACAGTACAGAAACAGCTTTACGAGTCCTGACAAATTGTACAGCATCTCTACAACACTGAGGTTCTCTTTTAAACCAGTTTATAATCATAGACAAAGTTCCAGTTTTCTGTCATTATGCCGGCTTTGGACACTTCTCAGTTCTTTTGAAGTTTACCAATTTTATTGGTGGTTCAGGTATGCTAATTGTCACTGCTGGGAATCCCAGCCTCCTAGGGAAGACAATATATCTTGTTGGGGGCAATGATGATACAATAATTTTCCCCACTTGATTGCTCTGGCTGTCCAATCAGTTGGCTCTATTCTTCCTTCCTCTTGAATAGGAACTTTTCTAGTAATTCTTAACACTCAGCTCATGTGTGGTGCAGGAAGACTATAACAAGCATACCTAGTCTTGAGTGATAGCAAATCTACATCAGACTTGGGCTGTGGGTGCACTGGGTTCTCTCTTGACTTAGCCCCATCCTCTTGGCCCTAGCTTCTTCTTCCTGCAGCAAGTGAAAGTGGAACTGTAGGTAGAGTGGAAGCTGGAAAGGCCTTGTTGGCTTGCTGCCTGTCTAGAGGAGCTTCCCCCCTGGCCACAGCAATTGTTTTACAGCCTCTCTGGGGCCATTGCTTTATTGAGAGCTAAGTCAGTCTTTTCATGGGCTACTTTAAGTTCTTAAGACCCTGTGATTCGTGTATATAAAGATACTAAAAAGTCCTCAAAATACAGAGATAGAAGAGACTGGTGTCCTGGGTTTGGCAGTCAAGGTAAAGCAAGTGTAAGTTTCAACATAGAAGGAAGCAGTTTGTAGAAAAATGAATGAGGTCAACATGACAAAAGGAATGAGTAAATCTCTCAGTTGGTGTTTGAGTGTGGGGGAGGGGTTGAATTGAGGTCCTTAGGAGGAACCCATGACTGCATGCAAAATCACGTGCAGACTCAGATTTCTTCTTAAGACCAGCGGGGGTTGGGGGTTTCTTCCATTGCCCAAAGCACAGAGCACAGGTAGGGAGTCCAGCCCTCCTGCTGTCTAGAGCAAGGATTGTGAGGAGCAACAAGGCCAGCTTACTGCTATGACTTGGTGGAAGCTTCTCCTCTGACAGTTCTGTTGTCCTCAAAAGAAGAGGCATAAATCTTGTTGGAGTGATGAGTTCCAATATTATGTCACTAATCAAGATTCTCTCAATGGAAAAATACTTTCTTCAGTTTTCTTTAACAAAAACCATGGTTGAGGGATGTTAGTTCACACGAATCATAAAACGTTTACAATTAACATATCATACTGTTGTTGATAGTAAGCAGTTGTGCCCACAGAGAGTGTGAACATGCATCCAGTGTATATGAAATGCCCATCAGGCCATCAAGGACTTAAAAGCACTTGAGACTCTTTTGATGCACAGGAAGTGTACAAAACAGCACTCTCGTTGCCTGGCTGGTAGAAATGTGCAGTGTTGTGACTTCTTTAGAATGACATCTATTAAAATTAAAAACTCTCTGCCCTCTCAGGAATTCTACTTCTGTGAACCTTTCCATAGAAATAGAAATGCCAATGCACAAGAATGTATATGCCAGGATGTTTTTAGAATCATTTATTCAAAGAGTAGCAGTAACTGGGGTAATAACGGATACAATGTAGTATATCCAAATAATATTATGTATGCAGTCATTATAAAGTATTAATGCAAACTATACCAGATACTCAGAAAGAACACTGAGCTCACAAAGAGTGAGCAAGAAATTAAGTTCAGTGGAAATGTAGCAATAAATACCCATTAAAAACAAACAGTGACACTATATCTATTGTATATTTATATATTTGTATGTAAATATACACCTGCTGAAGATTTGATAATGGAAGGTCACCAGGTTGCCTCCATAGTCTGTTGGGAATTTGAGGCCTTATCTAAGAAAGAGAAGAAAAAGGGAGAAAAAAGCATGTCTGTGATTGCAAAAACTATTAGGGCACATTGTTGTTCCACCTGTTTTGTAAATTGTGTGTGTGTTCATGAATCAGATGCATGAAAAGATGTGAGGGGTGTTATCCTGGAACTATGACTGGTTGGCAAGATTCCAGGTATTCTCTTTCTGTGTTATTTTTACATCATGTACCATGATTTGAAAACAACCTCCTTTATTTTTAAGTTTGAGAAAATATATTTTATGTTTTTAAAGTGTTCATCTTATAAAAATAAAATGAAAACACATGAAAAAGAAAGGTAGGGTTATTTTAACTACTCAAGATGTAGGTTTTTGTTTTGTTTTGCTTTGTTTTGTTTTCTTCAGTGCTGGGGTTCACCCCTTGCACAGGCTAAGCATGTACTTTATCACTGAGCTAATTTGGCGTTTTTTTTTTTTTTCCCAAGGCAATATGTTGTCAGGGCCAAAGTCTTCTCCTGCACCACAGTTTTCCACAGAAGTATGCAGATGCTATTTCAAGCATAAGACCTAGGATGATGTGGTTGTTAGATAAGGAAGGTGGCATGTTATTGCCTCTCATTCTGACAGTCCCCATGATGGCCTCTGAGGGTCCCGGCTCTCCAGGTGATAGTGTAACCATCTTTCCTGGAGTGCTGGTTGGACTGAGCAAAAGATCTCACTTCTGAGAACAGTGATTGAAAGGATGTGTGACATCAAAGGTCTGTCTCTGTGTGGGTACTTGTGTGCAGCTCACTGTCAGCCAGGGGCAGCACTGTGGGGTGAGGTGTGAGTGCCTGGAGGATCCTCCTGGGCTTGGTGAGAACAGCTCCTACTGACAGCTGGGCCACAGCCCCTCACCAGAGCCACCCAGTAGAACCTCTCCCAGATTTATGGCCACAGCAGCCTTGGAGGTGGTCAAAGCCTGCTAGCAGTTTTCAGGTGTCTGTGAAGGATTGGGGGCAGGGGAATGTCTTCAATGCATTTCACGGTAAAGGGGACAAGAATTTGCAGTGTTTCAGAAGAAAGGCCACCTGCCTCGCCACACCATTGGTAAGGGTTTGCCAAGTTGATTTTGACTACTTCTATATTTAAGATTAAAACACATGTCATTTTAAAATTGTTAAAATAAAATTCTTCTTAGAGCACTATAACTGAGATTATCTATGATGATGTCAACAATAATAAGTTGAAAGGCAATCTTCAGAGCTGAGTTGTGACTTTATAATGTCAGATTTTATTATTTTCCTTACAGACATATCATCATATCAAAGTTTACCTTGAGCCTCAGAAGTCTCGCTGAAGATGATTATAAAATTATAAAGTTAAGCTCTCTAATTAAAGAAACAAATATTAATATACTCATGAGAAATAAATGGTAAAATCTAATAACAAAAAGTAAAAATATAAGTTCTAATTTCTTAAAGAATTTCCTGAATTCACTCAGATTTCTATTTACATATGGCTGCTTATTTATTTTTTAGTTCAGAAGGAAAAAGAATACAATTGCATATGTAATTCATAACCAACTATAAAAATAACATATGGGGACA